TATCCTTGCTTTTTAAAAAACTCATTTTGCCAGTTAAAAAATGCAACCCTATACCAGTTACCCAGGGAGTCAGCACCACTGAACTCAGGGTGACTGCTCAGTATTCGTGTGAAGGGCTGTACAGCACATTTTTTATCTTTCTTTTTTAGGGTCTTAAACAAAGATCAAATATGTATTTCTAAAACTCTGTGTGCTTCTGTGGAAGGCAGTCCAAAAGGGAAACACCATTCAGATGTGAAGCCCTATTACAAGATTGAAATAGATTCCTAATGCTTAAATCATTCATCTTCGCAGTGTGTGATTTCAATCAGGAGGGGAAAATGATGAATTGTTTTACAGGGTTCCTTTCTCCCCCACCCCACTCTCCTTCCACCCATAGACACTAAACTGTAATATGCTTCCGCTAGTCTCTCCCAGCCATTACGGACTTTAACATGCAATGTGACCTTGGTCGGCAAAGCATGTTTGGTTAGCACAAAACCTTAATCATAAGAAGTCATAAGTAGAATCCTTCTTCTTTACTGCCCCTTTTTCGGGGGACTTGGAAATTTATGGTTTGTGGGACAGGTCGGATATGAACAATGGGCCAAATGAAGCGCAGGGTTATCTCATCTGTGCAAAGGCGTCTGCTGGAAATCGATGTGACCTCTTCGGGGTTGTCATTGCTGTCCCCACCCTCTGTGTCCTATCTGTCTTTTGGTGGGGAGCTTAGATCTGGATGCTGTCTCCCCGTGTCTCTCTTGAGCCAGATTATCAAAATGAATCATAGCCTGCATGGCTCTTAAATTTCTATTTATTTTTCTGCTGTTGACTAGGACAGGTGAAATATGATTTCTTTTTGCATTTGATCCTCACTGCAGCCAGCAGCACCTAATTTAGCCATGTCTATTTCCTTAAAGAAGAGTAATACCATTTTGAAACTTCAATCTACTCTACAGCAACATTACAACCCATAGACCAAGTGTCCTGTCTCCTCTGTCAATGTGAGCTTTCCTTTTGGCTGGTTTAATAGCATTTCTTCCCGCCACCCCACGGTGCCCCCACGATGGCAGTTTTCGAGATTCTTTTAAGCAGTATGTTCACGATTCCTTCACCGTTCCCTCTCTCACACAAACATATACACGCACAAGCACTTTCCCTCGCGGTCGTAATTTTAGCACAAGCAATTAATTTGGAACTTGGCCTTTAATAGCAAACATTTAAATAGGATAAATTGTATATCGTCTATGACTAGGGGAGAATGGGTTGTTCTGTGGATTGCTTTTTAAGGGAGAAGAGAAGCGTGAGAAATTGCTTATATTTTCTTCTGAAATAGTCACTGAGTTGATGGAAACGAGGAAGAATCTGATTAACAGTGCTAAGTAATAATTTGCAATAATCCAGGAAGCCGGCTAGTGCTTCCGAGTGACATATCTGGTAAGCAGATCCTCAAACTAGCCACTGTCTGTAAGCCACCTTCAGGAAGTTTCCCTCTAAATTCCGGGTTTGGCCAGAGGGTCAAATTTCCGTTTTAGAACAGCTCCAGGGCACTGCAGTCCAGGAATGGGGCAGAAGGAACAGAATGAGAAACTCGGAAACTTTTTATGGGCTTCACACTATTACTGGCATCGATTATGCATTAGGAGAGGCAGGGTGCACAAGAAATGTGATAACTTTCTTGACTCTGGTGTGGCAAATAATGTTGATGAACTAAAGTATTAGCTGAAACTCTATAATGTTTAAAATATAGTTGAAACAGACAGTAGAAAATGACGTTTAAAATACAGTAGAAAATGATGTTTAAAATGCAGTAGAAAATGATGTTTAAAATACAGTAGAAACATCGTTTGGGATATGAAACAAAAATCTACTGCATTCCTCGTTAATTTTGTTTCCTGTCGCGACTCCATCACTTGGACTGCTTGCTGATGAGTCAAGCAAAATCAAGTTTGCTTTTGTTTTTTGCTCTCTTGGTCATTTGATGGAAGGGTGACTTTCATTTCTATTCTATTTAAACCTCTTTGTGATACTCCAAGTTAGCAGAACTGTGGATCATGCAGTGCTGCGTATATTCTGTAATTACACTGTGCAAACCAGAAATTAGTAACGGGTGGCCTTTCAGCATCTTTTATAAAACTGCGCTATGGCCAACGAAGATCACAGAACCATTTGGTCCAGCACAATCCATTTTGTCTCTCAGCAGTTCTCCAGGGTTCCTGGCAAAGTCATTCCATCCGCCAGAAAAGAAACAGCTTCAGGGAACTTGCTTTGTTAGAACTTTGGGACTAGGAACTAGGGCCTGAGATTGCTTTTTCCTTCTCCCTACCATTCTCTTTTCCTTTTGTGCTATGACTTTTAATTCTTGTAAGCCACTCTGGGTGCCTTTTTCAAGTGAAGATTAGAGTTCAATGCTTGGCTAAATAAAGACACCCTGCTATCTAAGATGCTTCATATAGAGAGACATTTGCATCTACTGCCAGGGCTAGCCTGAAATTGCCCCATCCAATCTCCCAGCCCCACTGCTGGAAAATTTCACCATCATCTTCATCTTTACACTGCCCAGAAGCTGTAGCTCTCTGGGTAGTTTACAGAAGCACATAAAATAGTACAATAAAATACAATTACTGCCATAAAATCATAAAATCATAAAAAAATTAAAACCACTAAGAGCATACAATGTTCTCTTATCCTATAATAGGAAAGCGCCTGAAATGGGTAATTCCCTCAAGCACTTGGATCACTAAGTATATCTTGAAAAGCCAGCTTCAACCTGGCACTGAAAAGATGGCTAAGTTGGTGACTGATGGGCCGCAGTGGAGAAATCGCTCCATAAATGGGGGCGGAGGGACCATAAAGAAAGCCCTTCCTCAGAGTTGGCCCCAGAGATGTGGAGCATAGGTCGTGGCTGGGAAAGGTGCTCTGCCAGGTATTGCAGTCCCAAGGTGTGCAAGTCTTATAAATTAAGGCCAGCACCTTGAAGTAGGCTGGTCTGAAGTGCATGATCCTGCCTAATCTTGGAAGCTAAGCAGGGTCAGGCCTGGGCAGAAGTGGGATGGGTGACCTGAGTGTATGATTCTATGATTATTGCTGTCAACTGCCTAGAGAGCTTTGGCTATGGGCAGTATAAAAATGTAATAATAATAATAAATAAAAGCCGGTCAGAGCTGTGCGTACACGTTCAGACTTCCGGGTCCCAGTGACTAACCTGGTCACCACATTCTGCACCAGCTGAAGTTTCCGAACCATCTTCAAGGGCAGCCCCACTCAGACTACATTGCAAAAATTTAATCCAGAGATTAGACTACTGATGCAGGGTAGACTATTGAAGCCGAGCTCACCTTGTGCAGGGCAACACAGCTGGGCCCAGCCGAAGCTGGTGGAAACTTTATGCACCACCCAGAGAGCTTCAGCTGCCGTGTGGTATAGAAATGACAGCAGCAAGAGCAGCCTTATGGGTCAAGGGAAGACTTCGTCAGAAGTGGTTGTGCTACGGCCTCTTTTAGGCATCCTGGGACCGCTCCCTCTCTCAGGGCACCATGAAGCACTATCTTGGTCCAGCCAGTCCTTCCCTGCTGGCTTTTATAAGCTGGGGACAGGGGACAAGGATCCAGTGCAAAGGTGGTTACATGCACCTGGTCGGGCACTTTGCCAGGTTCCTCCAAGTTGCACCAGCCGAAGCTCATCCAAACAAACTTGGACCAGTCCGTGGTTTTGACATTGGAACAGGCACAACTGCTTTAACTCTGGAATCTGAATCACAGAAGATGCAAGGGATTTTTTGCTGGAAGTACCCACACCGCCCTAAATCCGGCGATTTGCGGGAGCGAGACCGTGTGCAAAATTTAAATAATCTCCCTGCTTGAAGAAGTCCTCTGTTGGAAGTGCTGTTTGGCCCATGCTGGGTAAAAAAGACCGAAGAGGAAACCGCTGATACCTTAATGCCATTATATGCATCTGTGGGGCAACCACACTTGTGATGCTACACAAAGAACTGCTGCTCAGCAAAAAAAACTGTAGGGATGCAACAGGCACCAAAAGGGGCCACCAAAACGATCAAGGTGCCAAAGAACTGCAGTTCTTGCATGCGGAAAGATTACGTTGAGCTATTTAGCTTCACAAAGCAGCAGCGGCAGAGTTAGGAATCAGGGCAGAGGTATACAGAATTTTGCCTGGTGTAGAGAAAATGGATAGTGAGATGATTTTCTCCCTCACAAGACCCAAACTAGAACTTTGGGTCATCCCATGAGGCTGATTGGTGAGAGATTCAGGACAAATAAAAGAAAGTTTGATGAATGCATTGTAAACTCAGTGCATAGTTCGACTCGGCATTTGCTTCCACATGATGTAGCAATAGCTGCCCGTTTGTACGGCTTTAAAAGGGAATTAGGCAATTTCATGGAGGAGAAGTCTGATAGTGGCTACCGGTCACGATGCCTATATTTCCCGCTCCAGAATCAGCACAGGCATGGAGCAGTATACAAATGCTGTAAATAAATACATTTGTTTATTCATTCATTTATTTAAAATATTTCTTGGTCACTTTTTGGGGCAGGAAGGCCACCCAAGGCAGTGTGCATAAAACAAATAAAACACAGTATGGTATGGTATTAAAAACAGTAAAAATGTAATTAAAAGGCACCAGCAGAGCATATTTTAGAAAACAGCTAACACCAGCATAAAATAAAACTTTCAACCGGCAACTGAGTTTGCTGAACATAATTAGAAGGCCGGAGGAAAGCAGGTCTCCAGGACTTTCTTGCAGGCCTGCCGTGCTGACTCCTGGGGGAAGCTGCTCAAGACCAACTCGTTGTGCGGAACACAGGCAGGGGGCTGTGATGGAGCATCCACTTGACCATTGTGGTAGCAGAAAACTCGACTAGATTGCCCCCCCGGTTCATTGGTTCCAGCATGGTCCTCTTGTTCTTCCCATAATAAATGGCCGCTTGCATTCATCCTTATCTGTTCACAAAGTTATCAGATGTTGGTTCATTCTAATATCCTCGTTTGTCTTCTTTTTACAGAAGAAGTCCAGATCGCCATCCCAGTCTTGAAGCCAACGCTAGAAAAGGTCCAACTGGCTGGACAAACCCTGCCCCCTGGCTTTCCTGCACCTTTTCTCTTTGCCGATGGATTGTCATCAGTAGAAACTCTATTAACCAATATACAGGTAAACACCCCAGTGATGTATTTCCTCCCTTTTATTTATTTATTTATTTATTTATTTATTTATTTATTTAAAACATTTCTATGCCACCCCCATCACAACAAAGCCTCGGGGCGGCTCACAAAAAATACAAAAAAAAACATAAACAATAACAATATAACAATTTAAAAGAAAAGAAAAGAAAAAAACATTTACAACTCCCGGTGCATTCTCGGCTAATTTTAAAATCCTAATAAATACAATAATTTAGCAATTAAAATAAGTTTTAAATAAAAAGGTCTTAGCCTGGCGCCGCAAAACAAATAATGATGGCACCAGGCGGGCCTCTCTGGGGAGCGCATTCCATAGATTGGGTGCCACCGCAGAGAAGGCCCTCCTCCGGGTACTCACCCTCCTAATATCATTCACAGAGGGTTCCCGGAGAAGGGCATCCGTTGCTGATCTCAAGGGGCGGGAGGGCATACATGGGCGCAAGCGTTCCTTTAGATATCCAGGCCCCAAGCCATTTAGGGCTTTATAGGTCATAACCAACACCTTGAATTGGGCCCGGACTTCAATCGGGAGCCAGTGGAGCTGACAGAGAACTGGGGTTATATGAGAACAACGCCCAGTCCCCATCAGCGACCTGGCAGCTCTATTCTGCACCAATTGAAGTATCTGGGGTAGCCCCACGTAGAGCGCATTACAGAAATCTAATCGGGAAGTTACCAGCGCGTGTGTCACTGTCGCCAGGCAGTCGTTCTCCAGGAAGGGATGCAGCTGATGGATCAGCCGAAGCTGAAGGAAAGCGCTCCTCACCACCAGCGTCACCTGAGCTTCTAGAGACAGCTCAGGGTCGAGGAGCGCTCCCAAGCTGCAAACCCTGTCCCTCAGAGGGAGTGCAACCCCATTTAGGACAAGGCCCAGGTCCCCCATCCCGAGGCCCGAGCCACCCACCAACAGGACCTCCGTCTTGCCTGGACTGAGCTTCAGTTTATTGGCCCTCATCCAGCCCACAACCGCCACGCAGTGCCTCCAACTCCCAATCCCGCCAGCCTATTCAGAAGGATACCATGGTTGATGGTATCAAAAGCCGCTGAGAGGTGTAGGAGAACTAATAGGGACTCACTCCCCCTGTCTCTCTCCCTGCACAGGTCATCATACAGGGCGACCAAGGCAGATTCAGTGCTAAAACTAAGATTAAACATCTTAAACCCACTTACAAAGCCAACACTTTTATGGATCACAAAACCAGACACTCTGTACACCCAGTGAAAGAAAACACACAGAACTTGTTTTCTAGAGTGAAAACAAGAGCTGTGCTGAAAATTTCCCTTCACATTCTTTCAGATGCTCTTGTTCACTTTTTGATAGAAGAGGGTTTGCTTTCCAAAAGGAATTCAAAACTGAACATGTTAGATGCATATTAATGGGTTAAGTTCAGGTTTCTTGAGCTGACCTTATTTACGAGGGGACTGAACAAATATGCACAATGGTTTTGTGTTTCATTGTATGATCATTTCATTGTATGATCATTTCTCCAGTGGCTTGTGCCATTCTTGACTTCCTATGCTTCAGTTAAAGCCCAGGGGGAAACATCAGGTAATTCTTCCTATGGGGCTTCTTCAGATCAGGAAGTACTGCTCAGCCTAGAAGGCTTGCAGGTCCATTGAGAGCTGTGTAATAACATGGAAACACGCGCGCGCTTATCGCCTGTGGCCATTTCACAGTGACTTGGTAAGCTGAAAAACTCGCATTATAAAACACCATCCCCCCTGCAAGAAATTCAGTAAAATTGTCTCCCTGGTTTCTCTTCCTGTAAATACAGTGGAGAATTTTTGAGTTGATCTGATGCACAGCTTTGATTGCAATGAAACAAGCAAGCAAGCAAAGCGGAGGGTGATCCGCTGGTTCCACTGACTCTCCGGCTATCAGGGCTGGCACCAAAACATGGCACCACTGTGCAGAAGCTGGGGCATCAGCAGCCTCGGGGTAATTGCCAGTGCCTCCCCTGCCCCCGTGTCAGGCAGCAATCTGTACACAGTTCTACTGATACTGTTCCAGGTGCCAGGGAACAGTCCAGTTTCTGAGTGACCACACCAAAGTCCAGCCAAGCCCAGTTCCAAACCTAGTTGGTTTTCCAGTTGTTCCTACCTAAGGCTGTTTGGAAGTAGTGCAGGGAATACCAGATCTGTGTGTTTTCTTTCTCCTTCCTCTCCTGTAGCAGATTATCACAGATGTCATTGTGAGTTAACATTACCCCCTACTGGCATTAATCTTGGTTCCTGCTTGGGTTTTATGCCGTTTTAATCCCATGGTCTTTTATTTGTGTTTTGCTCTGTTGTGAAATCTTATGTACATAAATTTTGTTTTGTGAACCACCCAAAGAACTTTGGGTAATGGATGATATAGAAATAAAATAACAAATACATAAATACCCTAGCCCTAAGAAATGCACGCACAATTCCTATTTGTGTGCATATATTTTCCCTACTTTGTTTGGAGCCAATGGTTATGTGTGTGGGGTGCTGTCAGAAAATATATTTATTACTATCTCTCTGGGTGCTTCTGCACCTACCTGTGCATTTCCCCACTTGATCTGTGTAGTGATTGCAGTTCAAAGGAAGCTCGGTGTACCTTACTTCCCTTTGAAAATTAGAGTTAAACAATGGTAGGTATAGCTTGGTATTGGTCAACCCAAGCAAACAGTCTTAGACTTCTACCTGTGGATTTGTGTGTAGGGTAGCATTGGTTGATGCCAGGGATTCCAGCCTGAATCTGGGTTGTCACAGCCTGAATTGATTATTCCGTGTCCTACACTCTGGCACCCACAGGAAGAGATCTTGACCTTCCTTTCTGTGACAGCCTTTGAGGTACTTATAGAGGGCTACCGTGTCCCCGCTCAGTCTTCTCTCCCCAAGGCTGAACATGCCCAGTTCTCTCAGTCTCTCCTCACAGGGCAGTGCTTCCAAACCCTGGATCATTTTTGTTGCCCTCCACTGGACCCTTATGAATGCAACAGAACAAAAAGTACTTGGCAATCGGTGGAACAGATGCAATGGACTTCACAGCACTCTTGCAGAACCAGCCTTCTCCACCCCAGTTCCCCCCAGACATGCTGGACTGCAGTCCCTGCCATTCCCAGCTAGCAGAGCCATTTGCCTTGCCTGAGCTTATTTTCTCCAGATCTTTTTAAAAATAGTGTCCTTATCATGTCGGTCTCATTTTCTGGTCCTGACTCCAACGTTACATGCATGCTTCTCTTTACAGGGGTTGCTGAAAGTTGCTGTAGATAACACCCGAGTTCAGGAAAAACAGATCCAGCAGGAAAAGAAGGAGCTGAAGATGGAACTGTGCAGGGAGAGGGAACTCAGAGAGAGTCTGGAGAGGCAACTCACCGTTGAGCTGCAGAGCAGAGGTAAGCTGAGAGAGAACGGAAGAAGCGGAAGGCAGGGAAATTTCATGCTGTTCTTACTTGCTACCTCCTAAACCGCAGGTGAGCCACCAGATGGTTTCGAGCAAATGGAAACAAATGTGAAATTCAGAGTACTGTGTCTAAATATTTGCATTGTCTCTTTTTTGCTATTTATTATTTTCATTAGCCATTTTTAGGAAGGACAGGATCAAACATTTTTCATCAGTCAATCAGACTACCTTTCATTTGAATGCGAAAGCACCTACCTACAAAGCAGTGGCACTGAATTCCACATGTCTGCCATTTGGTGTAAAGCGGCATAGTCGCCTTATAAACCAAAACACAGAATTTTAATGTCAACAAAGAATGCTTTATACTGATTATGATTTATAATCCAAGGAAGTCCCCACTAGTGGATTTTCATAATTGCATATTTTCATCTTCAGCAACAATTCAGAAGCGCTTGAAGAAAGAGAAGAAAGCCAAAAGGAAATTGCAAGAAGCCCTGGAGTTTGAATCGAAGAGGAGAGAACAGGTGGAGCAGGCACTGAAGCAAGCTACGTCAGGCGATGGTCTCAGGATGCTAAATGGTAACTTCACAGTGGCCTCGCTGCTGAATTAGCCTTTGGCATTGCATTGTTTAAATGCTTTGTCTGTTCAGGGCACAATCCATGGCCCGTATTTGGCTGGTGGAGGGGCCCTAAGGAGCACCTTTCCTGCCACTGGACCAGTGGGTAAAGAGGCACACCCAGTGCTTTTTATGTAAAAAAAAGGGCCGGAACTCTGCTACGCCTGACAGGTGATTCAAAATCACTTCGTAAAATCCATTGGAAAAAAAGGTGCCGGAACGCTGTTCCGGTGCGTTCTATGACAAAAAAACCCTGAGCAAACCCATGCAAGATGCTTACCTGCAGGGCTCCTCCTAGGCTTGGACTGGGGACCCAGACTCTGAATCAATGTATCACAGGCCCAGATCTTTTCTCAAGAGTCTTGCACCAGTGCCAGTACAAAGTTAATGTTCCCCTTGGCCTGAATTGGCACACAGGTGGCCATTTCAAGGGACAGTGTCGCGGGGAAGAGAACGATGATTGTTCTCTTCCCCACACGTGAAGCACATGTGAAGGCTTGAGGGCCCTGAAGGAAAAGCAGGATTTAAAGACGGCGAACTATTAAATGTTAGCCATTCCTGTGCATGTGCATCTTCCGATGCTGCAGCTAGGGGGCTCAATGACGTGAATATTGTGCCTTGCAGAAGCTGGGATTCCAGACATGGAAACTGAGCGCAACGGAACCCAACATGACGGCGCAGCAATGCAAGGTACAGTGCATTACAGCAATGGATCTCCGAGGCAGTCGACCTATTTGGTACGGAAGCCTCTTCTGGGTCTGCTTCGTATTAGTTATCCTCACTTTGCCTTGTCCCTGAGAGTGGAACTGTTTAATTTCAGCTGTTGGCTAGTTGTACAGCTGCACCTTCTCCAGCTGCGGAACATCCCCCGTCCCCGTCAGCAAAAAGGACTTATCTTTGCTTTGCTGCTGGACTATCCCAACCTGTGCAATGCCAGGCACATTTCCTAGCGGGGAAGAAGCTTATCTGTGGTTGCTGCTTCGGATGGCTGTGCATTACCTGCAGTAGCAGGAGCTGGGGAACCTGAGCCGAAGGCTGCGATTGCACACAGGTCCTCCTTACGAGCTTCCTTGGGCATGCAGTTGGCTGTTGTGGAAACCCAGTGCTGGCCCAGACAGGCCGCTGAACAGATCCATTGGGGTTGTTCCGATATTCTTAAGCTGCTGGGGTCACCTTTGACCCTAGATTCAAAGGCTGCATGCTGGGAAATCAATGGCAGGAGAGGGTACTTGTAGTGGGGTTCAACTTGAGGACTTCCAAAAGGGATTTTCACTGTGGGAGCCAGGATACTGGACTCAATGGACTTTAGTCCATTGGGCTAAATGAAATGTTATTCATTGATCAAATCAGGATTGTGTGTGTGTGTGTGTGTGTGTGTGTGTGTGTGTGTGTGTGTGTGTGTTATCAGTGCATGCTGGTACTGCTAGGAGCTGGCCAGAAGTTTCAGTTCTGGAGAATTTCTTTGAAATTCTCCTAGTTAAACCAAATATAGCTAGAGAGAAATGATAGAAAAATACGGATCCAGCTCTTATCCACATGGCAAGTGAACAGAAAATGTGCTCTTGAGCGCCACTGCGGTTTCCTTGGCATGGAAATCTTCACAGGCGTGCGGTCTCCCAGCATCGTCCCACTGAAGAAAAGGTTTGTATTCAAACACTCCTCACTTGAGGTTGCTGTAACTCACATTGTGGGCCAAACACAAGGCTGGTGCATCAACTAATTTTTATCCACCAATCTCTGTTTCCCATAAAATAAATATACAGGGTGTCATTAAGTGCACCTTCAGATCAATGATTTTTGCAAATGACATCCAAGTACCGCTGGAGTGGTGCATTTGTATTTTTTTAATTTTTTTTTGCTGATAAAAGCAAATTAAATTAGCACAACTACAAGCAGTGCTGATAAAAACGGCGGCCGAACAACAGTGCCATTAGCTAACAAAGTAATATTTTCTCTTTACTGCTTTCTGCCATTTAGTTATTATCCTATTGGAAATCTAATTATAATCCTTTTACTCCCCAGTCAAACTTCACAGTTTTTGCAAGCTTAGCACTGACATGTGATTTCATTACGTTTGATTGCTCGCGCCCAGATTGACTTAACTTCACTCAGAGACCTAAAAGCCCTCTCAGTTTCTCAGATTCCCTGTTTGCGCATTACTGCAACAGCTCCTTTAATTAATTAGCATGAACAGTAGTAACATGAACTGCTGAACAGAAAATAACATCATTTTATGATCGCAGGGAGACTTCTCCTTTTGCATGTTTATACCTTAGTTAACTTTTGGTCATTATTATGTTTCCTTTGATAAGAGGCTGTAGGTGCAAAGAAGGGAATATAATCATGCCCAGTGCAAATGTTTAATCTTAACTTTCTTTTTAAAAACAAACAAAAATGGATGAAGAGTTGATATGCTTGATTATGCAGATGTAAGACCCTTAACATCTATATATTTTCCAAGCACAGAAGACAACAGTAAACTCCAGGGACATGATCCTATCAGAGTTAAGCACTTTTCAATCCCAAGAATTACTTTTATTTATTATCATGGATTATTGAGAGCCAGTGTGGTAGAGAGGTGAGAGTGAGGGAAATCCAGGTTCTAGTCCCCACCTAGCTATGAAGCTCACTGGGTGACTTTGGGCCAGGCGCTGGTCTCAGCCTAACCTACCTCACAAGGTTGTTGTGAGGATAAAATAGAGCCATGTTAGCTGCCTCGGGTTCCTCACCAGAAAAAAGGGTGATTTTAGATGTGAGGTAATAATATTTTAAGAAGTGCTTTTAACCCTTGCTCTTTAGCCACAAAAATTAATAACAGGACAGTCCCTGCCCTGCAGCTTGGCATCTGGAAGAGATGAGGAGACAGGCGTGGGGGAAGCAAATTCCGGCACTCTTTCTTATGAGTAATTCCAAAAGGGCATTTCCACTAAGTGGGGGTGAAGCAAGTTCCTTGCAGCGGATTCTTGGCTGGCTCAGGTGACGGAGCCTGTTGCAAGGATGCTCTTCCCGGAGGGGGCAGGCTTGGATGTGCTTCCTTCCAGCTCTGCGCTCAGTCGGAGTCTTCTTTCTGACTGGGAAGAGAAGAATGAAGCAAGCTCTCTCCAGTTGAACTCAGGGGAGGGTAGCAGTAGGGCTGAATGAGGCATTTGGGCTGGAATATTTTCAGCCAAAAGGATGGTCTTTGGGAGAGGGGCATCCTGCTGGTCTCATGTGCTGTTATCGTTGTCTGTTGACTATTGCTACTGTTTTTATTCTAATATTGTGACTTTTCTTTTCATTTATGTGTTTTAACTTTGTAAACCACTTTCTACTGTTGGACAGAGTAAAAATATAATAAATAAATAATAAAATTGGCTTTGTGATACAATCAGGTAGTTAGAATTGACTGATTACATGATATTATCATGAAGCCAAAACAGGAATCAGGGCAGTATTTCTGCCCTTCATCTCATGTTGCATTCACAGTTGAAAGGGGGAAACTCACTGAGCTTCAGCAAGAAACACCCCCAAAATTAGAAACATAGAAACAGAGCGAGTTAGAAGGGACCTCCCGGGCCATCTAGTCTGACCTCTGGCACCAGCCGGCTCCGCTCACGTCATGCCCACCATGTGCATATAATTGCTAGTAGCGGAAATAGAATCGACGAACATGTCGTCCTATTCACAGGGTTTCTTGAGAAATGAAAGGAGGGCCTCTTTGCCTGCTGTAAGTTATGGATGACACTTCTGGGCTCCAGTGTTTACTTTATGTAATCAGAAGCAGAATTGTGTCAGCCGTCAACTTTTTCATGAGTAGTTCCTATTTCATAGAGGGGGAAAAGACTGCGGGAGAATCTTCGGGGGACTGTATGACTTTGGAATGTAGGTGGGGATTGCCCAGTCGCTGGAAAGCAGTGTGTAATGGTGGCCAGTGTTAAAGCGGAGGCATGGGAGATCCGGCTTCCAGCCCCCGCTCGGCCACGAAGCTCACTGGGTGTCTTCGGCCAGTTGTTCTCTCAGCCTCACTTACCTCATAGGGTTGCCATTATAAGGATAAAATGGAGCTACGCAAACTAAAATGTGGGACATGAGAGCAATGTAGTAGTAATGATGTTCCCCCAGGTAGAAACTATACTCCCAGCACTGCTAGAATGTGAGGGAACCTTTTTCTTCTTGAATTTTGTGTGTGGGAAGTGCTTTTGTCAGGGGGAACAAGAGAAGCACAATGCAATTTGGAAGGGGTAGGAAAATGTGATGTTTCTGATTGGCCCCTTTTGGGAAGACTGGTAGAGCTCCTCCATGAGGACTGGTAGACTGTTAGAGCTCTTCTGCCTGATATCTCTGAGCTGGTGCCCTGGAGAGAGATTTTGCACAAGGTTTGGCCTGTGCCAAGTGCTTCCTCAGCCGCCCTCACAAAGTGGTAGAATCCGTGGGAAACTCTGCTGTGAGAGCTTTTTGAAGTATACACACTAGCTGTGCTTGGGACAAGGTTTACCTGCTAGTGATTGTGTGTGCAAGACCCTGCAGTGCGCAAGTACCTGCAGTGGTGACACAAGGAGCAGTTTCATTGTGTAACATCAAACAACGCCTGTTAAGCTCGTGGACTGATACCAAAGTGAAGATGAAGCTTCCCACCTAGAACATCATTGTTTCCCTTTTGTCTTCCACAACACCAAATATAGAACAGAGGGAGACGTCTATGCTATGTAATAACTGCCCTGTTAGGAAAGAAAATATCATCCAAAGGGGAAATTACCATCATTAACATAGGATTTGGCTCACAGGCAAAATGGTGAGATCTTTATTCATGTTACACAATGTACTGGATCTGCAAACCCCTTCTAAATGTCTTGCTTATTAAAGCAGTCATGCATTTCACGGTAGGTTGTAAAACAGCCGATCACGCACTGGGGGCTCATAAGCATATTTTAGTGTTAGGGAATATCATTTATACCCTTTTTATATTGTCAATATTATCCCTAGAGAATCAAATTATGCTTTAAACTACTGTAAATCCACCATTTGGCTCACCTTTGTCTAATTTCATTTTTTAATAGAATGAAGCCCACATAAATGAATATTTGATTATGGGATAAACCTAATAAAAGGATACGTTTATGGCCCAAAGATTTATTTAAAATCTTGACTATGTAATACCGTAAAAACACTATAAAATGGAAACATCGATAGGTGTGGAATGTTCCACGCGGAATGAATTTTTGACCCTAGTTTCTTCCTTAATCAATTTGCACAATGCTTCAACCAAAAAGAACAGGGGAGAGACTGGGGTTGTATGATAGCAAAATATCATAGGACTGGCTCATGTGGACTGCCCATTTATTCGGACTATTTCTGTGCTGCTCTTCCTATAATGGATTCTGGAGTAGCAGTGTGATTTATCATCACATGCACGGGAAGCAAAGGTGCCCCAGCACCCTCCAGATGTTGCTGGCCTCCCATTCGCACAACCCCAGGCTGGCCTGACACTGATCTTGGACGTGTCGTAACCATGGGTCCAGGAACAGGAATGTGCAAGGACGAAATCCTACACATGTTTAGACAGAGGAAAGGTCTACAGAGAAAAGATCTTCAGAACACGCATCTCCTTTCCGTCTGGGCATCCATTTTCTGCCTCCCTCCCTCTCACATGCATGCCATCACCATCCTATGAGGAGAAGAATGAGTGTGAGCCAATAGACCGGAATGGGAAACATGTGGCCTTCTTACTCCCTTTATTCCTGGCCAGCATGGCCAGAGAAAATGGGGCTTACGCATCTTGCGATGCCTAGCCTTCAGCCTACCAACCCGTCCGTGCTTCCTCTTTTCTGTCTCCAGCTTCGTTCTGTGCCATCCTGAGCAGGTTGGTCCTCTGTTGAGAATGGGGGTCACGGGAAAGGAAGTCACCCCAGTTCTCTCACACACACGATGGAAGTGGTGCATGTGTAGAACAACCCAACTGGCTGGTGTTACTCCTTCGTAGAGACTGGTGCTTCCAGTTCCCTCCATGAGGTTCCCAGGCTCCTGAGAATTTCTCTGGCATTCATGTGTCATTGATATTAATCCGAGTTTATGTCCAAGCTCCAAATTACTACATCCCGGTTTGGAGAGTACAAGCCCTCTTAAAAACATGCGACATTCAGTTCCTAATTAGCGGTTTCCTGTTTGTAATGGAGCAAACATGCTGGTTGAGGATTAAGATTTAGCACCCGCACTCGGGTGTTTATAGTTCCAGATGTTTTTGTTTTATCTAGGACTTTACTTTGACAGCTCCTGTAAAATGATAAATCACTCATAACTGAAATGCATTTCAAAATTGAAATGTAGCAAAATTGGCGATTGCTCCAAGGATCTGTGTCGGTCAATACAGTTTCTTTCCTTCTGAAGAATATGGTATTGGCATATGTAAAACAGTAAAGGGAGTTAGGTCAACATTATACGTATGGTGGTTGGTGGATCATTTTACTAGTCTCTAAAAATCACTCATGGTGCAGCTGTTCAGAAGACTTTAAATCTATTCTAATAGGAATATAGATTTGCATTCCTTCCTTTTGGCTTTTCATGGCTCTTTGAGATAAAACTGCTTTCAACATTATTTTTCAGACAAAAGATAAATCCCCTTTGCTCTTCCAGTTAAATGGGAATACAGGAAACAAATGTGACAGAAATTGTTTCCAATCCTAATCCCAGGGGAAGCTATTGATTTACTAACAAGACTGATTTGTAATGCAATCTTATATTTAAAAGTATGTCCTGTTGCAGATGGATTGGACATGTGATAATCACAACTGATTTTGTTTAGTAGTACAATTACTCGCTTTCTGAGCTTCTCAAATGTCTCTTCCAGGCAATGGCTTGAATGCTGATTCAGTCACTCATTATTGAGTAAACACACTGAAATCAGCGTGGCTTGATTTCATTGGGCCAGCTTTAAGCAGGATCAAAGCCTGGATCCAGCCCTGTTTGCCGAATGCATGCACAAAGGAAATACATCCCCCCCCCCCCCCCGTATCAGTCTGGAACCTGCATTGTTATTGGTGGGGCTCCTAATGGCAGAAGATTAGGATCCCGTTTGACTCGCGTTATGGTGGATATCAGAGAAGAAGACCTCCCTGGCTCCTAATCCAATGCAGTTGACCACCCTTCCAACCCAGGTTATGGGTGGGCCTTTGGCTTTAAAATAAGGAAGAAAACCATATTGAAGTGCTCGCTGTCGCGTGTTTCTTTGGTTCACCATTGTTGCTTCATGCAAAGGAAAGGAAAATAGCTCCATGGCTCCACACGGGCCTGCCATTCAGCGCATTGCCCTGCCAATGTTGGCTGGAATCCAGAAAAACGAGTTGCTCCTGAACTCCTTTTAGGACAGTTGGTCAAACTCCAGATCCACATCAGTTTCCCATGTCAACCATGCCCTGCCTTGCAGTGCAGGTGTTTGTGTGTTTTAGCCAGAAGTACAACCATGCCTTTGTACATCCCATGTCTAATGTCTTACTCAGCTGCAAATTTCATGTTGAATTCTAATCCCGCCTTTTGGAACTCCTTCAGATATGTTGAACTACAAGTCCATCTTCCCCAGTCATGCTGACCGGGGGTGGTGGGAGATGTAACACCGTTTGGAAGGCACCAGGCTAGGGAAGTGGGTCATCTTCTAGTGGTCAGAATCTTCAAGGCACGGGTGATTCACAAATGTCTAGTTAATCAGTCTTTTAATAATGAACATTGAATGCCCTTACTGTGTTCTTTTGTTTTTTAGAAAACAGAACATACATCAAACCTTCCATTATGTACTGAAGACACTTACTCTGGAGTGGGGGCTGGGGAAACCATGACGATCACTCTCAGAAGACAAGACAGCTCCTGAAAGACACCCCGTCTAACCTTTGATGCCTTCAGTGCTGTGTGAAGAACAGGATTGGTAGCATTGAAATGTGGACAATCTCAAACAACGAACTGCAATTGAACACTTCCATAACGTTATTGAGAAATGTTGAGACTTCTTCCCAGCTTGCACCAAACCACACTTGTTGCAGCAGCTCATTGTAGGTCCCGGAGGATGTGGGGAGGGGGGCGGGGAGAGAGAGTTTTAGTATTTTTAAGCACAGACCAGAATTATTCCCTGAAAGAATGAACTTCCACCCCACCACCCCTGGAGTTAACTTTTACTGTATAACAATGGCACAATGCATTAATAAGCCGCAAATTTCCGACTGGCTGTGTACCCTACATGTCCAGACTTATCACTGAAACAGCTCAACACAGAGCTGTTTCAATTGTGTTTATAAATTTAAGCTTTGTTTACTGAAGCTGAAACTCAATATATATTACGTTTTGAAGAGAAAGTATGTACATTTTTTAATATGATGAAGATGATGATGTAAAGATTGTCCTTCCTTAGATGACCGATTAAAGAGTGTAAACTCAAGCCCCATCCACCCATAGCCGGCATAAGAAGGGGATTATAAATTGAAGCTTTTAAATTTTATTTTTAGTTCCTCTTGGGTTTTGGTCTTTTAAAATGAAGCAGAGGGAAGGATGAATATACAATAGAATGTTAGATAATGGAAACTTTAAAGTATAGTTTCTCTGTTGTACCATATTAAGTTAAAAGTACACATTCTTTGTTAAAATGTTCTTGCTAAAAACTACAGTATTAAAACCATTTTTGTTTGACTTTGGAAATTGGTTGGTTGACTTATTTTTTAATGGCAGGCTCCAAAAGGAGAAGGAAACATAATGTAATTCAGTGTGTGCACAGGTTCATGTGTTTGTGTGTGTGTGCACATATATATGAGGCAAGACTTGCAATTTGTATAGCAGGGACCCCCTCTGACCCCACTGGACTCCCCCCACAAAACATAGTTTCTAAAATGCTTTCCTTTGAAAATGTCCAGAGGATTCATGGACTGTATGAATGCAGTCCATGGATTCATCCATGGACTGTATGAATTTAGCTTGCAAGCAACCCTCTTGCTTGCAAGCTAAATTTCGCCCATTTGGCACTAGACAGTCAGCAGCAAAAGGGTTAAATTTGTCCTGAAGACAAGATGGAATTGACTTTTGTAGCACTATCTAGGCTGCGCCGAACTTGAGTGACAAAGCAACAGTTTTAGCACTTTATTTTCTCTTATTTTGGGGGACTGTGAAAATGCCTCCAGACTTGAAAAGGTTGGGGTTAGGGTTTAAGGATATTTTAGGATTTCTTTTAGTTCACATTTTAAGCAAACTGATCTGATTCATGCTTCCCAGATAAAAATACTTATAAACATCAAGACAGCTTTTGTTTGCCTTGTATCTTCTGATAGGGTTTGCAGCTCTAAAAAATACATACATATTACAAGGTTTGAATTGCAACGGAATTCTATATCTTAGGATAAAATGCAAATATGTTTTGGGGAAAAGCATTCAGAAATCATGTGGACTTTGTGCATTTAAAAACAAATGCAGAAACTGGACAAAACCGACTTTGGAATGCACAAATTCAATACCAATGCAGTTTGAAAATAGATTTTATCTCTCCTCTGAAGCCAGTTGGCCGTCTTCCCTATTCATTCTGCCTGCATCTTTAAATGTCTTTTCATTGAGCTGACCTGAGTAGGAAGGAAACCAAACAGTTTCCTACTTGGACCTTCTGGGGATAACCTACCATTTTTTCATCACACCATATTACCAAGGAAAGAATGAATCTGTTTTGCTTTCCTACAGTGTTTATGGTTTGTAAGCAAATATTTATTCCATCTTGTTTCTGTATCAGTTTATGTTGGGAAGGGTTGTTTGTTTAAAGTCTGCATTAACATTTGTACGCCTTTCTTGTTCTCTTTTGCATAACATATACACCTTTTCCAAGCACTTTTCCTTAACATGTTCCTTTTTGTATGCTCTATTCCCTACTAACATAGGCATTTTGGTCCACATTTTCTCCCAGTATCCACATCTTTGCATGCACTATTTGACTGGAGAACTGCATCCCAAAATTCTCAGAAAAACAAAAGGAAATTGTGTTCTGGTTCACATGTGGAAATCACAACTTAGGGCAATTTATATTCCTATGTAAATCAAACAAATTGTGCTGCCCCCCCTTAAGATTGCTATTCTAATTCTATTAGCTTTACTATTCTAAACTTTTTAAAGCTTCGGCCCATGCAATTAGTATTAGACAAAACCATTTAAGAATCCTAACCATACTCCTAAGCAACCCTGGAAAGTCACCTTAGCATCCTTTTCCTTTCCAAAGATCAAGCTGCTCAGTGAGCACTTCATTGATTTCCTAATTTGCCCTTCCCAAAATAGTTTCAAATGTCAAGGTATTGGCAAAAGAGATTTAAGGAATGCAGAAGCTTCAGAGGAAGAGTCTGATGTACAGTTGTTATTAGCTAGTGCCTGAAAATTATTGACTATCCAAAAGCATAGCACTTTCACATCCTCGCCCCAGTGTAATGAGCTGACTTGCAAATAACACTTCCATTTGCACAAGTTAATATGCTGGAAGGAAGCCTCGTTTAAGACAACCTGGTCATCTGCAGTAGCTGAGTGAGAAGCACGATCTAAAAATAGACTACCAGATTTGACTCAGTAGCAGAGAAATGCTGTGGTCCATCCCAGATGCTACAGAATATCATGGATTTCTCCACGCAAGGCTGGGGAAATTTCTGACCTGGGTAAGTGAGGTAGGAGTGCGGATTCACCCACTCTCCACCCTTCCTGGGCTCCATAGAAAGCTCTGCAGGAGCTCCTTTTGCCCGGTCCGTGTCTTCTGGTGTAGGGAGGACCACAAAGTGGCCGGCATTCCCTCCAATATTTCCTGCTACCTCCATTTATTTTCCCATCCTTCACAATGTGTCTAAGGTCATACGTGATGTAAGCTGCCCAGAAAGCCTATGGCTAGTGAGGAGGCATATAAATCAGATCAGTGGGTGGGTGGGTGGCATGATGAACTTCTTGCTCCCCTCATAATCGTCTTTTGCTCTCCCAAACTGAATTTTCAGGAGTCGCCTCCACACAAATTGCACCCTTTTATGGCCGATTGCTATTTTTTACAGGGACCGCACTGGAAGTTCCTCCTTTAAAAAAAAGTGAGCAATTATTTAACCTTGCTAGGAAAAGAATGGCCCCACCCGATACAAGGGAAGCTGTCTTTTAAAACTAGCATTGCATCTGTTGCAAAGGTCCTCTATTGGTACTGATTTATAGCAAAACTTAAAAAGAGTTTTCAGCACGTATGTACAGGAAGGAAACTTGTCTGGTTGCCTCAGGAAGTGAGTGTCAGAACTGCAGCCCCATCACCAGTAACTCCTGGTCAGTGAAATATTTATTTATTTACACATGCATTTTATTATTTATTCATTTATGCCTGTATTTATAGGCTGCCTATAACTGCCGAGGCCTTCCTAGGCAGCTTACAATGTATAAAACTTATTAACAAAATAAAAAACATTAAAACATCTATGAAAGCTATATAAAAAGGGCCACAGCATTCAGGCTAAGTGTTAAAATTTTTCCTAAGATATGTCTTTGCCTGGTGCCGAAAGGAAAATAAAGACAGTGCCAGTCGAATTTCCCCAGGGAGGGAGTTCCAAAGATAGGGAGCAGAAGCAGAAAAGGTCCTTTGCCTGGTTGCCACCCTCTCATCTCCCTGAGGGGTGGTTCTCACAGAAGGACCTCCTGAGCTGATCTGAGGGGGCGGGTAGGTATATATGGGTGCAGATGGTCCTTTAGATAGGCAGGCCCCTAAAGACTTTAGGACTTTAGTTGTCAATACAAGCACCTTGAATTGGGCCTGGGGCACAACTGGTAGCCAGTTTAAGCCAAAATATTTGATAATGTTCATGCAGAACCTGCTGGCTCTTATTATTCTAAGGCCTGGGCAGATTGACCTAAACTGATCAGCTCAAATGACCTTCTTTCTTTCTTTGTCCTCTGCCCCTTTCTATTTCAGTTCAGGCCACATGTTGCAACTCTGGACCAGAAGCGGCCATGTGATGTGGTCCCCACCTGGGCCATACACAGAAGAAGGCCCTCCACATCTTTCCAGTCCCTATCTGAGCTTCCAGTCCACAGGAGGCTAGTGCTTCCAATATCAGTGAGGAAATGTGTCTGCTCCAGGTTTTAGTCCTCAAAATAGGTTCAGGACCATAGACAGCTCTTTTACACTGTCCCAGAGGACTGGGACCTACCAGCTTCAGCTGCCCAGCTCTCAAGCAGACATCATACCGTGTAGCCATTTATAGGTGCCTCCCCAACCCCACCCCACACAACTCCTTCCAACTTCCTTTTAAAGCTGCTGAAGCCAGGCACCGTAACAACTCCCTTTTGCCCATCCCGAATAATGTACTGCTAAGCAATTTCACCGAGTGACCCTGAGTTTGATGTTACGAGACAGGGAGGAAAGAATTCTATCCACTTTTTCTGCAGCATGACAAGTTCATAAACCTCTATCACATCCTCCTTCTCAGCATTCTTTCTTTTCTTTTAAAAGGAAAAGAAAAAAGAAAAAGCAATCCCAAAGCACTTTGGCCTTTCCTCCTAAGAGAGCTGTGCTGGCCCCATGGTCATTTTGATTCATCTGAGATGGAGTGAGCAATTTGGTACATCTTTGGAACAAGCCAGCACTGGGTGGAAGAGCCATTGCTGCAGAGATGCAGAGTTTTTGTATTTATTTACATTTATCTGCTCCTTCCTTTATTAAAAAAAATAAGGTAGCGTACAACAATTTAAAACCATGCAACAGGATTTAACACCATTTTAATAAACTAAAAATGTTAAGAACAGGAAAACATTGAAACAGGAATGTAGCTTAAAAGTTGTCTTAAAAAGATGCGTCTTTGCTGTCTTCACAACCTTTCTAAAAGCGAGGAGAATAGGTGTTACAGGTAAGAAAGACAATT